ATTTGCCTCAAAACATAATATATTTTCTGGTTGACCATTTCAAATTTTGCCCAGAGGTTTCAAGGTCCTACTCCAGCTATGAGGCCACAGTAACTGCAGATCTTGCTTAATATGACTTTGAAGCTTTGGAAGCTCCTTTATTAGCTCAGTTTCAAAGTCTATTTCAAAGCCTGTTGCTCTTTCTACACTGGCTCTGAGCTCCAGCACTTACACAAACACATAGACACAAGCCATTCTCTGCGTTCTGAGTAAATATGCTCCCACAGTGCAATGACATCACATTAGCCTGGGACTGGAAATGATGTCATCATCCATTCAGAGGGGAAATGAGGGAATGAGAGAAAATGGCAAGAATAGCACACATTTCATCTTTCTGCAGATTAGGAGCCCTCCCTCACTCAGGCACAACGTGCCAGCTGCCTTTTGCTCTATTCACCACTGGTCAGTACCTGACCACTGACCACAGGACCACTGTTGAATAGACATTATTTCAGTGGAGGGCAATTCTCAGCACAGTGACACTGACTTGGTAGTGTGTGTGGTGTAGGTAAGTGCATATCAGACTCAGTAGTGGTGGTGTTGGGTTTTTTACACACATTGTCACTTTTAGGTTAACCACTATTAGGTTAAGTGAACCACTACCCAAAAGTATCCAGGAAAAATCCACAGCCGTTTCTGTCCATCCTTCCACTGTGAGAAGACAACTCGGCACTATGAGTCTGAAAGGATGCGTCAAGAAGCTCTTAGTGTGAAAAGGAAACAGACAAAAAAGAAGAACATTTGCAAGTCAGGCAAAGAAGCTGACTGACCACCCCAGCGTCCAGACCTCTACATCACTGATTTTTTCTGGGATTACCTGAATCATGAGAAGCACAAAATGCAACCAACTTCTAAGACTGAACTTTGGAGATGTGGAAAAATATCCCTGTTCATTTCTTTGAAGAACTGAAAACAAGTCTCCTGAAAAGAATGGAAGCTGTAATAAAGGTGAAGTCTGGACACACTAAATACTGAAAAACTTGACATGTTTAGTTATTGAGGCGTCGGTGTAAATTTCTGTTAATGTTTTCTATTAATATCTTTTTCCTGATGCTGAAAATGAATAACTTGCACTTCATGGCTGTTTCAACTGCATATGAAATAAATTCAGTGGTCCCTGACTTTTAAACAGTACTGTAAAGTTAGGAGTGTGTGGTGGGTGGTGCTGTCGTCTCAGAGCAAAAAAGGGTCTGGGTTCGATTCCCTGGCTGGGTGACCAGGGTCCTTTCTGTGTGGAGTTTGCATGTTCTGCCCCTAGGTGTGAGTGTGTGTGCCTGTCCTGTGATGGACTGGCGACCTGTCCAGGGTGTTTCCTGTCTTCTGCCCAATGAGCGCTGGGATAGGCTCCTGCTACCCAGGAGGATAAGCAGCTTGGATAATGTGTTTAACACGGCTAATATTTCCAGATTTATGTATTGTTATTGCTACCTATGACCTCTGTATGCCTATGGCGTCTAATATATCCGTGTGTGCCTGCAGTGTCTCTCTGTCTTTAGACACAGCAGATCATTAGTCTCTTTCAGTGTGCAGATATAAGAAATGAAGCTATTATCATTTTATCTCCTCATCCTTCATCCTCCATATGAGCATTAATATTCATTCAGTGTGGTCTGTCTGTGCCAGCAGTCAGAGATAATAAGCAGGTAGAGGAGACGGTTCTGCTATCACAGATGAGGCCCTTCTTATTCAGGCTGAACACGTCATTGCTGATTACATATACACACACTTTGGGGTTTTCAGCTGCCTTAAGAAAATTTCAGAGTAAAATATCAAAAATACCTGCAAAAGTTTTCTTAACGTAGAACAGCTATTTGCTAATAAGTATATATAAATATACAAATACAGTATTGAGCAAATGTTTTAACGACCTGAGAAAATTAGACCTTAATGGTACTTAGTAAAAATTTATTTGCTCAGAAAAAACACACACACACATATATCTGTTGTAGGATCAAAACCTTGTATCTCCAAAATGATACCTTTACAGGAGAAGGAAAAAAAAAATCCTCTTTTTAATGTAAGTCAATGGAACCAGACATTTTTCCAAGTCATTTTGGGTCATTTCTGTTGGTCCATTCATCATGAAATTTACACACAATATATAGGACTATGGGTATTTTCAAATTATGTCAAAAACTGAAAAACTACAAAAATGGAAATATGAGGCTTTGTTCTGAAAGCAGTGATATATATCTTTTAGATTTTATGGGTTTAATGTTTTTTTTTTCTCTTTTTTATATATTAAGCAGATAAATGCTATGTTTCAGTGTATTCCCTATACAGGATTATTCTCACTTAGAAAATCAAAGCATGTCATTTGAAAAGGGATGCCCAAACGTTATATGACCGTATATCATCATTGTCACAAAACAACCTTATATCTCTGAAGTGCTAACTTTACAGGAGAAGTAAAAACCTTTCCTAACTTTGAATGGAAGATAATGGAAATGACTTTTTCCAAGTTTTTCTGATCATTTCTAATGGTCCATTCATCTTGAAATGTTAAGGCATTGGTTAAGGGCAGCTGGCCTTTTAATTCTGTAAAAACCACATAAATGGAGGTATAAAGTTTTGTGCCAACGCTGAAGAGACATAAGAGACCGTCATTCTTTTTTTCAGTCAAAATGACCATTGACTCTTTGACGCAGTTTTCTTTTCCAGTCTACTGTTGAAAGCACACACTGAAACTATTTTGGCCCCAAAACTGCTTCAAACACCATTAAGCATCTTTAGAATCTATTCATATTTGAACTGTGTGTGCTTCTAAATATAATTCATAATGATACACAGTCTCTTCTACAAAGACGTAGCAGATTTAAGATTTAAATGAAACTGAAACGAGCTTAGAGAAATGAATGATTTAACAGTAAACTCAGTTAAAAGCTATGTTTTTGACTTTAAGACTCTCTGAGGCTCAGAAAAACTGAACAACAGTCTGATTAATGCTGTAAGGGAGAGAACTGCACAGGCCCAGGGCCCTCATGGAAAAACCTCCATCCCCTTCAGTCCTTCATTTAGTCTGAGGCATTTTAATGAGCTGCTTCTCTGAGGACCCGAGAAGCCCATTACTGGAACAAAGCTCCACACGCTTTTCAATATATATATAAACATGAATGAATCTTTCAGTGTCATTAAATATTTGACATGTTGCTTTTTCTCAAAAAAAAAAAAAAGGTCTTTAACTAAGTTTACAGGTTTCTGCAGAGGGCACCTGTAGAGAAGACTTAAATATGTCTGGGAATTAAAAAATTAATTTCTGCAAAATCATTAAGCTTGTATTTAAACTCAGGTGTTGAAGTAATGCTATAGTTTTATTGCTAAATTTAGGTTGTTATCAAAAGGGCTAAATTCTTGCCCAACAAAATATTGACCAATCAGCATTTTTCCCATTGGTTAGGACTCATGAATCATGAATTCTGCTTGTGCTCCGACTCAGACCTAAAAGCCTTCATGCAACCTCGGCTGTTTGAGGTCAGAAAAATGGATGTTCACAGAAAGCTAGCACTAGTTTAGCTGCTGTATTTGTGTACAAAGGTCATAGAAACTGTTTACACTTCAATATGAAATGTTTACTTGTGATTAATGCATACAGTTTCATTAAAATGAAATCTTGCACCAAACAGCTTCACCTTACAGTTATAATTTCTTGTATGACTGTTTTTTTAATCACCCGTCTGTAAAGCACTTTGAGCTGGCAAGAAAAGTGCTAAAAATATTTTTTTAATTCTTATTAAATTATTAATTACTGAAGTGTCCCAGTGTGTTTGGCAATATCATAAACAAATAGCAACACAAAATCATGTTTAAGAAGCTCCTTGTTCTACGGGCACAGTCATGTTGTAATGACCTGATGGAACAGCACTTCTGACTTTCTGAGTGGGACTTATGAGTTGGAGGGATGTTACTTTACAGGTTCTAATGTTTCTGAAGGCAGGTTCTACAGTAGATTTCCTTATAGGTGTGCGTTGCTTCTACTTCTCTACTATTTATGATCTTTGTGGTTTATGGACCATGTAAACACCACATGATGTCCTTCTAAAAAAGTGTTCAGCTCATTAACGCCTGACCCTGAGCTCTTTATCGCTGTTCAGCTGTGCGGAGAGCGTCCAGTAAATCATATGAAGCTCACCCAACACACACACACACACACACACACACACACACACACACACACACACACAGTGAAATATGATTAGTGTAAATGACAAGAGTATTGATCTGTGTCTCTTGGTCTGCTACCAGGAGTTACAAACAGAGACAGAAGCTGTTCTTAAAGGACCCAAAGTGTGGAAAACAGATTTTTTTAAATAAATAGAATTTGATGTAGTATGTAAACATTGTTAAAGTGCTTCATTTGCTCCCCAGCTTATATATGGAAACTAAACTGCAAAGACAGCCTGTTTTGAAAATATTAATGTAAAGATACATAAGCATTGAAAGTGGACTTGTGGGAAATAAAATGCAAGAAAAATGTAGAATATGACGTGACCTCTGATGCATACACTAATCTGCTGTCCTGTGTGAGGGGATGCATGAGACGCTGACCCTGCTGACCTCTCAACTGGAAAATAATATGCAAGACAAATGTAGAACATGGGCTCTTTAAAGTCAGTGCTAATAGGAAATCATAGCGCATTGTCCCTCCATACTGTATTTCCAAAACATGGTACCAGGAAGGGACTCTGAACTGGCTGAGTGTTTTCTCCCGATGATGGGCTGGGCTGGTGGAAGGGGGGCGTCAAACACAATATTATTGTTTCCCCCACCTGCTAGTGCATGTTTTAGAGGCAGGAAAGGCCATTCTATTTTGATGGGACATTACAGACAAGAATTTAGTCATTTATAGACATGTGGTGACATTCACAGCATTCAGTTGTATTCTTGCTGTGTGTGTTATGGTTTACTTAGCTTGAACATTACTGCAAGTTTATGCTGTAGTTTTGTTTTGCTCTCTCCGTCAGGTTACGTTCTCAGAGCTGATCCATGAAAGAAGCCATGCCAGTCCTCTCAGCAGGTGCAGGTAAACACAAACAAACACCATGTTCTGATCTTTCTGCCTGGCCTCGTCTCTACTGTCTGTTTCTGTACTATACAAATAACAGTACAAATGCAAAAAAGTAGGAAAGACATATTTTACAGAAAAGCTTCCAAAACTAAATATATCACATATATAAGTGTTTAGTTGACCCACTCTTGATCTCTACTGCCACTTTAACTCTTCCATCCTTCTACTCATAAAACCAACCAGTTACAGCTGCATCCTCCCTCCCTAAAAGCTGCAAGTCACCACCCAAACTCACCTTAACTGACTTGCAAATATCTTTCTGATGAGATATTTCTGAGTCTCAAAACTCAGTTCATAAATATGTTGAAAGATACTGTTGCTTCAGATCTGAAAACATCCACAGGTGTTTCTGTCCATCCTTCCCCTGAGAGAAGACAACTCAGCACTATGAGTCTGAAAGGATATGTAGCTGTCAAGAAGCTCTTAAGCCAGGCATACACTGTGTGATTTTAGTCCATTTTTAAACCCGATTTGGTCGGAGCCGACTGAATTTCATGATCGGGCCGAATTTCAGCTTCATCCACTGTCGTTTGCCGTGCAGTGTGAGAGGGGAAACGATGCCTGATTAGCTGCCCAAACGAGCTCCAATTGAGCAGTCGGACGATCGGATGGATTTCTGACATGTCAGAAATTTTGGTGGCTTGTCTCACAGTGTGAGCAGCCTCACGAATTGATTTCTCACACCCAAAACCACAAATAATCACAATAATGACTTTGCCCCCTACTGTCCTATGTAGCATACTAAGTCTGGCTTCTACACCTAAATACTGCACTGTTTGTCCAGTATGGAACTGTGCACACATGGGACTAAACTTGGGAGATGTGAAAAATATCTCTGCAGATTTCTTTGAAAGACTGAAAGCAAGCCTCCTGAAAAGGATAGATGCTGTAATAAAGGCAAATAGGGGACACATTAAATACAGAAGCTTTTGATGTATATTTTGTCACTGAGGTGTAATTTTCTGTTAAATATATGTTTGCTGTTTTTTTATATAAAAATAAATAAATAAATTGCACTTAATGGCTGTTTTGACTGAAAATTATAGAAATAAAGTTTATGATTTCTGACTTTTGCACCGTTACAAACACATGCACACTAATCTGCTGTCCTGTTTGAAGGGTTGCATGAGACGCTGGCCCTGCTGACCTCTCAGCTGCGTCCCGATGCCAATCACAAAGAGGACATGGTCTTCCTCAAAGATGTCTTCAGCGAGAAGAGCCTGGCCTACCTTATGAAGGTGTGTGAGCAGGTGTGAAGTGAACAATAAGCTGGCAGGCCACCTACAGTTTACTGAGCTATTCATTCTGACTCGTGTGTGTTTGTATCTGTGTTCCAGATTCATGAGAAGCTGCGTCAGTATGAGAGACAGAGCCCCACACCTGTGCTCCACAGCGCCTCCTCTCTGGCAGAGGATGTAAGTGACATTATGGCTGCATTCACATTACAGGGATAAGGTGGCACAAATCTGATTTTTTGGCCTAAATGTGAACATAGATCTGATGTATTCAGAGCCATGTGGCTGCAAAAATCTGTTCAAATTAGATCTGGAACACTTTTATGTGTGGTCCACTTCCATATTTGTGGTCTGTTTGTTTTTGTTTTTGCTGCACAGGAACATATATATTACTCCTCATTGTCTGGTGGTGGCAGCAATGGTTTAATTTGAAGATGACGTTGTTAGTTGTTAGTTAGTGTCTGTAATAACTGATAAAGCATGAATGCATCTGGCCTTTTTGCCTCATTGTAAACAGTTGAGAGGAAATAATCTGTGAGGTGAAATGTGGATTACGCATGAGATGTTGATTATTAATGTGCACATGCATGTCTTTTTAAGGCAAAGGCCTATTCATATTAAAGGGCCCATATCATAGACAAACATTATAAAACATTCTCGCTTTTTTGAAGGAAAGGAGTTTGATGTGGTATGTAAACATTGTTTATGCAGTTCATATATGAAAACTAAGCTGCTAAAAAAAAGCCAATTTTGAATTTACTGTTTTTGTGATGTCACAGAAACCAAGACATCCACAGTCATATGCAAGAGTTTGGCCATCTCTGGTCAAATGACATTTTCGCTTAGAAAAAGCTACAAAAAACATATGTGAACACATCCTCTACAGAGAACACATCTGCACATTCTAATGCACAATTATTGTTTATTTGGCAAATTTGACCTTTGACCTAAAAACGTTATGGTACATTTTATATCCTATGTGCTTATTTTTTTCAATTTAGTTCAATTTAGTAAACAAATGGAAAATGTGCTCTAAAATGTTCAGAAAAACGCCTTATTCAAGTGTCTTCTCTGTAGAGGAAATGTTAACCTAAGAGCATAAAAACAGCCTGCTTAATTGTACGGGATACAGCAATGCTTGAAAATGGTCATGCAGAAATGAATTATGATTGTTTTTGGTGCATAAAGCCACACACATCACAAGTGAACGAAAGATATGCATGTAAATAAAATAATATACAGGACAAGTAAGGATATTGGCCCTTTAATGACAGATATGGTTCAATGTGAACAGCCAGAAAGATCTGACCTGAGCAACAAATCAGAACTAGTCAAAAATAAGCAGTAATGTAATGTAATGCGAATGTAACCTTTGAATCCTGCTCTGCCCAACAGCAGAAAGCATATGGATTAGATTAACACTCTGCACTTAGATTATTAGACCTGAACACCTTACACTGTAATGCTATCTGAGATCAATCACAGGAAGTCAGAATGGCCTCGCAGCAACCAGAGGCATTATAAAAGGAGGAGAAGGCAATTAAATAGTTATATGAAATATGAATGGGAGAGCTCATAACTCTGTGTTACAGACAGCCCAGTCCTTGATTAAAAGAGCCAGTATAGCAGTAGGTGGAATAACCTTAAAAATGTATTTTTTGTGAGTTATTTGATGTTTGACAAACTACTTATACATTTTTTAGGATTTTACCTGTTATTTCAAATACACTGGCTATCAGTCTGAGGTTTAAATCTGTGTGTGCCACAATTGTTTGCACCCCTTCATTTAATGTTTTGTTCAGCCTTCCTTTGCAAAGATAACAGCCCTGATTTTCTCCTTTAACGCTTAATGAGACTGGAGAACATATGACAGAAGATCTGAGCCAATCCTCCAAACAGAATCTCTCCAGATCCTTCAGATTCTGAGGTCCACACTGTGGACTGTCCGCTTCAGCTCAACCCACAGGTTTTCTATGGTGTTTAGGTCAGACACTGGGGTGGCCATGGCAAAACCCTAATTCTGTGCTTAGTGAAATAGTGTTGATTTTCTGGCTGAGGCAGTCAGATTTAGATTTTGGTCTCATCTGACCACAGAACACGGTCCCACTGAAAGTTCCAGTAAACTATAGGCACTCAAGTTTGTAGGTCCTTGACAGCAGACGCTTAACCCACACAAACAACTTGTGGTCATATAGGTGGTGTTTGATTGTTGTTTGGGATACATTCTGACCCCAAGACCTACTAATGTCTGCAATTCTCCATCTGTGATCCTTGGAGATTCTTTGTCCACTCAAACCATCCCCCTCACTGTGCATGGGGTCATATAGACACATGTTCTCTTCCCAGCAGATTCTTAACATCTCCATTAACCTTCTTAAACATTGTCCTGATAAGGGAAATGGGCATTTTCAACTGTGTACTATTTTCTTGTAGCCATTTCCTGATTTGTGCAGCTCAACAACCTTGTATTGTTCATCATTGCTGTTTTTTTCTGGTCTTTCTAATAGTGATGGATGACTGAGGGAATTTGGCCTGTGTTTCATCTCATATATATTCCCCAGTGAATCAGAAAGTCATGGCTGACCATTTAGGTGTTCCTAATCACTCAAGTGAACTTTAAAACATAAAACATGAAAGGGAATGTACAATTACATTTCACTGTTAAGACATTTTAAGGGCCAATAAATAAAGGTTAGACTTTTGCTAATATTTTGAATGAAAGATCAAAAAGAAAAAGTAGTAAAAATATTTTTTACAGCTAATTTTGCTCATGATTAACAGGGGTGCCAATATTTGTGGAGGGCACTGTGTGTCTTATGACCTGTCTGTGTGCATGTGTGTGCAAAAGAGCAGAGATAATTCATCAGTTCCCCTTCTGTTTGGCAGGTTGCTGAGGAGTTGCAAAGTGGCCCCATGAGTGTGGAGGAGAAAGAGCTGCTTCACTTGCTGACATCACCTCACTTACGGGTACATGCACCCTCTAATGCCCATAGGGAGTATCAACCACAGACAAAGTATGGCAACTACAGTAGACAGGGCTGCTGTCCTTAAACCACCCTTGTGTACCAGCTTACCATTTTAAAATTCTTCAATTCTTCACTCTCAGAACTACATGACTTGTGAGTTCGGACATGCCTTTAACATATGGTCTTCGTTCAAGAAGGTAGAGATGGACATTTATAGGAGGTTAAGGGTTTCCCTGTACGCTGAATGTAGTTGATCAGCCAAGACATGTTTGGTGTCCAAAGTTTGTTTTTCTACTAGAGCTAATGTAGTTAGCATGTAGCTTATAGCCACCAATTAGCATTGTGCTAAACTAATGCCTAAATCATCACACGCTTACCTCAAACTTTGTTTAGTTGCTAAGCATGTAAAGATTTTGGTCTCACAGCTTATACAATCACCATAGAGAAGCACAGCCCAAAAGAATTGGAGCAGCAGCACATGAGCCAAAGCTCACCATTCCTAAAGCCAAGCAATGACCAGAGGGGGTTAAAGCCCCCCCCAGAACTGGAATGTGAAGCAGTGAAACTGCATTCACTGGAGGGAATGGGGCTCCAACCAAAACATTTGGGATCCAGAACTAAAATCCAGAACTAAAATCATCCAACATCAGTACCTGACTCCACTCATGCGCTTGTGGCTGGATGCAATGAAATCCTCACCACAATGTTCCAACATCTATAGTAAAGCCTTCTGAGAAGAGTAGAGGCTGTCACTGTGGCAAATTGGGGACAAACTCCCTATTAATACCTTGATTTCAGAGGACACTGTGAGTGAGCAGGCATCTGCAAACGTTTGGACATATAGTGTGTATTGATATGATTTTCTGTTGTACTGTCTCTTTAAAATTAATAATACTAATCCTGAAGTTTAAGGGGCTAATATTCTCTATTCTCTCTCTTTCACTAGGCGGTTCTCTCAGTTCATGACACAGTGGCCCAGAAGAACTTTGACCCTGTCCTGCCTCCTCTTCCTGATGACTTTGAGGACGAGCTGGAGGAGGAGTCGGTCAAGATTGTCCGCTTGGTCAAGAACAAAGAGCCTCTGGTGAGAGATGGAGAGAGAGAGGAGTGGAGTAAGGGATGGGGCTAAGAAAAAAAGGAGATAAAGGGATTGTTTTGGCAAACAGAAGTGGATTTATGAGCATCAAGCCTCCTTTAGCATTTCGAAGATTCAGTGTGACTCATTTTTACTCTGATCTTCTGAAGTGTTTGAAGAATATCAGGATTATTCAAATGACCTGATTAGACAGATCTGATAAGAAATGTCCTCCGTATGTCTATGTTTTTGTCTTTGTCCATCTCTCTTGGTCTGACTGGCCCCGTATATGTGTCCTCCTCTCAGGGGGCCACCATTCGGCGTGATGAAGCCACAGGAGCCGTCATTGTAGCACGTGTTATGAAAGGAGGGGCTGCTGACAGAAGCGGTGAGTGGTACTATGATTAAACTGCAAGAAAATCACATTAACCACAGTGTTTCCTTTACCCCAAATACAGCCAATCAGCCAAAAGAATGTACACCAATTAGCATCATGCAAACTACTTGCCTACATTATCATACTTGTCTCTAACTGAGCTGTTAAGTACTTGCTTAGTTGCTTTCTGACACTGTTTGACATGCTGTTACCTATAAACAGGCCCAGGTCATCAAGCTATAGGCCCCTGGGCACAACTTTTTGAAGGGCCTCTATCATGCCACCTTTGTTAGTGGTCAAGAATTTGTTTATGATATCATGTGTTACATGAGGGCTGTGCAGCAGCAGTACACAAAATTATAATCAGGTTCTAGAAATAAACCTCATGAATCAATTACTTGTGTTATCCAACGCCCTACAGTGATACAACAATAGCAAGACTTGCGGCAACAATGGTCACTCTAGGCGCATCCAAAAACGTCAATGTGTCTCAGTCATATAAATATTTCTCTGTACCATAAAACATTAAGAAGGCACAGGGGTTAATATAAACACAACCACCAGTGCAACAATTGCAATCGGACAGCTAAGATGCACACAACGATGAAGAAAAACAACAGCACCAAAATTAAAAAGCAAAAACATAAAGCATCCTAAGCTAAAGGGGTTATGATACCGATCACTCACATGTTTTTAATATCTGAAGCTTCAAATTTGAAGGACATACAGAGGCCAGCTCACTGCTTAGAAACTTGAAAGCTTGACCAAAGTGAAGGCAGATAGTGTTACAGTTGCTTAGCAGTGATTGGAAGAGTAAATGAAGTGAACGCTCCTTTTTCCCTGTCCAACCAGTAGAGTTTCCCCTGCGAGTCAAAACAGCTGTTGATTTTGTCATAATTGCTAGCGGGGGCCCCCCAGTGGCTCAGGCTCCTGGACATGCGCACTTAAAACCAACGGGATGATCTGCGCCTGCTTTTAAAAGTGGAGAAAAAATTACGTTTCATAGCTAAAAACAGTATTAGCACCAGTATGGAGCCTGAATTTTCTACTATCACTGTAATCTCTTTCAACAGGCCTCCTAGTGGCAGTTGCACTGGTGGAATTGAAATTGACTGGCATTTGAGATGGTTTTCAGTAATATAATTCATTACAATATTTTTCCTCGCTATCAAATTAACTAGGACACTGTAGCCTCTCTGGGTGTGAATTGTTGTGACTCTGTATTGAGCTGCTAGTGAGCAATGAGGGGTTATTGGAGTAAAAATGCATAGTTCAACAGAGGGACCTCCAAAACAGGTGGACATGCATTTTATAGCTACTGTAAAAAAAAGGTTAAGCCCCAGAACTTTGCTAGAATATCTGTATTGTGCTTAGACTTTGACCGATAGAGCCTTTCTGCTTGGAGAGTGACAATCTCATGAGATCCTATGAAAAAAATCAAACACAGTAGCCAACCATGTGACCACAGCTGCTCCCAGAATATGATCTATCAATTGTTTGTCTTCAGGTTTGCTGCTTTGTGTGTGTCTTACTAAAAATCCACTCTGCTACTAAACCTCAGTGAGAGTGTGTTTTATTGGGTGTCTCTGTCATCGATCGTGATCATCATTCCTCCCCCCCCCTCTCTCTGTGGATCTCCCTCTTCTCTGATGTGCCATTGATCTGTTGCTGAGTGTGTGGAAGGCCTGATCACCGCCAATAGACAGAGTGCATCATGTTAAATCTTACAGCAGTTCAGCAGACTGTAAACCTGCTCATTACCGCCATAAGTGTACGGGTACACATTCAGAGCCGTGTGGGAGTGAAGTAGCCTCACCAGATCAGTAAATCTGAAACCAACTGTGCTAAAAGGCCAATCACAAACCCAACATAGACCCTCAAGGGCCAAAAAAATGACTTTGTTTTTTTTCCACTCCATGCAGCCCATATTTGGAAACTTATATGGCCACAAAAACAGGCCGTTTTGAAATAATCATGGTTGTGATGTTAGCAAACCATGACCTGATTTTCCTATTCTGCCACTTCCATTTATTTCAGTTAGGCTCCCATTTCCCTCAACATTTATTCTTCAGCCTTTTTATTTGGAAAATTCTCCCATTTACATGTGAAGTGTCAAAATTGTAAAAGAAAAACAAGCAAACAAATGAATAAATAAATGATACATAAACAAATCACAGTATTTTGTTCTAATTGTTCTTCAAAGTGTCTTTTGTATAGCATATTTGTATGTATGCATGTAAACAAACAGCCAAAACATGACTTTTTGGTTAACTAAGCTAAAACTTCTAAATATTATATGCTGTGATTTTACTCACTGCTCTAATCGTCGCCCTGCTTTAAACTCCGAACATGAAGCTAAACACCCACAGCTCAGCTCAGTGAGACTCAGCAGCTGCACAAATGGCTAGACTGACCTGCTGCTGTGTCAGTTAGCCAGAAAATGTCATTTAAAAAGGAAATATTAAAGAATAAACAGACAGCGGCTGTAGATAATCAGTTTTGTTCAGTTTAACCTGTACACATTGTTTTCTTCTATGCTGGATATTTTTTCCATGGAGAAGTCAGAGCCAACTGCTGCTGCGTTTCCATGGCAGTGGATTTTAGATTGGTTCTTATCATGTTATCGTCATGTTAAAGTGACGTATGCATGGATTTGTGGTGCAACCAAATTTAGTAAAAGGATAGTTTGATTCTAACTAGTGTAACTAAGGGCTTAGTAAAGATTTTACATACAAACTAAAGTATAAACTTACGCAAACCTGGCAACTCAGTCCTGCGGTATGTATGAATGGTCGATGAATGTACTGACAGGTTAACATGTTGCTTCATTGAAAAATCGATTTTATTAATGTTTCCCTTACCACAACAGTACAAATGTAGTCAATTGGTTGTGATATGTTTCATGATTGAAGTTAACCACTGAAATTACAAGGCTAATGAATTTAACAAGTAATGGAAGCTAACAACCCACCATTTATTACTGCAAACCTCTTGAAGAGAGCTACATCTAATGACGTAGAAAATCACATGTATATACCACAGCTATAGAGATAAGAGATAATCTCTTACCCTCGATGTGCTCTCTGTTTTGGGACAGGTCTCGTGCATGTAGGTGATGAACTGAGAGAAGTCAATGGCATCTCCGTAATGCACAAGAGACCAGATGAGATAAGCCAACTCCTGGTATAACCCTCATCTTCATTATCATGATTAAGTACCGTAATCCTTTTTTGCAGGATGGGACTTACTTTCTAATCTATTCTCTTCTATTAGTCTCAGTCTCAAGGCTCCATCACCCTGAAGATCATCCCAGCTATTAAAGAGGAGGACAAGCTGAAAGAGAGCAAGGTGGGTGACAGTAGTACTCTATTAAAATCCCTCATATAGGATGGCACAGCTATTGCAGAAGGCTGCGGATTCACTAAGTGTAATTTCTGCAGGTCTACATGCGGGCTCTGTTTGACTACAACCCACTGGACGATAAGGCCACGCCCTGTCAGGAGGCAGGGCTTCCTTTTAAGCATGGGGACATCCTGCAGGTGGTGAGCCAGGATGACGGTACCTGGTGGCAGGCGAAGAAAATGGGAGACAGCAACCTGCGTGCGGGACTCATACCTTCCAAACAGTTTCAGGAGAGGTGAGATGAAGTTTGCAACAATTGTCATTGTCCCAGTTTGGTTCGGTTATGATTCAGTGGAATGAATATGATTTTGAATTGCCATTAGAAGAAGTGAATATGATGAACCCAAACCTGCTAAAAAGGCTAATGATGATTAAGGTCTTAAAAACCCAGGCTTATTACATGCTAAGGCTTATTATTCAGTAACTACAGGTAGTTCAGTGCAAACTGGCTCGGCTATTCTTAAGTTATAGAAGTGTGTAATAAAGGTTTAGGCCCACTTAAACCCCCAATTTAAGGGGTTAAAACCTACTGGGGACTGGCTAGCATGACCCCCTTTTCCTACAATTAACCTGGCTGATAGGAGTGAGGCAGTGAGGTCATGCTAGTCCCCACTAGGTTTTACTCATTGTTAGCCTTTTTTGAACTGTTCCAAGTTCAGTTCTGATTCATTCAGAAAAGGTATATTTACAATTGTGAAAAGTTGTGATTACCATTAGAAGGTGAATATAATAATTAATCAACCCAAAACTGCACACTTACTGAAACCTCATGGGGACTGATTAGCATGACCTCACAGCTTAAACACTGTATTAAACAATTGTATTAAAGGTGCAGTGTGTAATATTTAGTGGTATTAGGTGGTGAGGTTGCAGATTGCAACCAGTACCCTTTCTTCACCCCTCCATCATGTTTCCAAGCGTGCAATAGAACCTATGGTGGCTGTCATGTTTGCACTTCTTTGACAAAGACGATTCACCCTCCTTTGCTTTTTCTTGTGCTAAAAATATGTATAATCCTCCATTTGTCAAACATCTCACAACACAAAATGGTTAGCCAGTGCTGGCAGCAACCACTGAATCTTTTTCTTTCTGCATCTTCCAACTGGTGCTCTAAAGCCACCAAATTCCAGCTGGCACTTCAACATAAGAATATAAAGGCATTTTCTGGAGGCAGTGTTTGGTTTGTCCGTTCTGGGCCACTGTAGAAACATGGCGGCGCAACATGGGGCCCCCTGTTGGAAGAGAAGCAGCCCCTATGTAGATAAGAAGGGCTCATTATAAGCTAATGAAAGCACAAAGATTTGTAGTCACATACACTGATGAAAATGTTGTATACTATATTCCACTTCTGTTAATAGATCCCCATAAATCTTACACACTGCACCTTTAAACAATTATCAGGTGAGTAACCTAGCTCAGCCTACAGGACAAGTGAGGTCATGCTGTCCATTCCCCAGATTTCAGTTGCTGTTCTCCTTTGAGTTCTTTATTCTTTGTAGTCAACTATCATTGTACCAATTTGGCCATACAGAGAAGTTCTGATCGTTTGTGCTAAAATGCTAAAAGGGCTAATGGTGACTGAAGAAAAGGTTACAATTTCAGATAATGTATGCATAATTCATGCATGTGATATTTAGCATAACTGTTAAATATCATTGCAAGAATGATATCTAGGTTACGTATTAGTGTTAAAAGCCTAGCTTATGTAGCCTATTGAGGCTAAACAAAATCAAGACCAGTAATTAGGCTGCAGAAAAACGTTACAGATCTGTACAGGGTTATGAACTATTATGTTTAATGTAAGTCATCAACAGGACATCCTGAAAGGAACTTGTTCATCGTGCTCAATGACCTGGATTAAACCTGAAAGAGGTCTCTCTGGTTTTCTTACCAAACCTAGTTCTCCCACAAACACCTACTTCCTCGTCTCCCCTTCCTGCCCGTAACACCAACCTCTTTCTCATTGTCATTTGAGCTTCTCATTTCAGACCAAGACATTGCCTTTAAGCAGCTGTCAAGAAATTAGTGCTATCAGTGCGGCAGCAGTATGGCTCTGTCTTATTCTTCACTTGCTGTTCTTCTCTTGCCTTTGCTTTCAGGCGTTTAGCCTACAGACTCAAAATGGGGACTCTGCAGAATCCCAAATCCCCCCAAAAGCCCGTCTGTAAGTAGAATTGTTCTTTTCCTGTTCTTGTCCTTTTTCATATTTTAGCATTAAAGGGGAACTCCACTTATTTATCAAAATGTCCAAATTATTAATCACCGAACGGTAAACATGCATTTAGACTGGTTTGATGTGAAATAATTAATGATAGAGAAACTTACTGACTCATGTTTTCTAACAGTGGTGGTGATGTTTACATATACATGATGATGAACACAAATACAGCCATTTTATTTACTATTCAAAATGATCAGTGTACCTGCACTTCCATTCTGAGTTTAATATATTATGATGATAATGATAAAATAGTGGTAAATCTGAAAAATAAGTTTTGTTTTGGGAAATATTTTGCCTCTCAGCAGCCTGAATGTACCTCTCTGCTATGAATGGATTTTTACAAAATATGTTTTAGGCAACAACATTCTCTCAAAACTATCATAACAACATCTCAGCAAATTAAAAACAGCTCTGACTCAATATGTTGTATTAGAAAGGAACAATTCGTGTACAACCACTCTGAATTATAAATGAAATAATATGATTTAATTATGAAAACATTTCTAACAATGTTTAGAATTCTCTTTTAATAAACTTAAAGAGGAATCCCTTCCATATCTGGTTTGGCCTAGTGTTTTTTGTGTGAATCCACAACTAGTAGTGAATATTTCCAACAGTTTATGAATAAATTTAAATAACAGAATCTAACAGATGTAGTTTCATAGAACTGAATAAACTATAACTATGTGTAGAATAAGGCCTGGCCAGCCTCCAACAACATGTAAAGATAAATATTTGTGTGATCATTATACTTAAGTGTATTTTATTATTGTGTGCTTAAGTGATGCACAGATCTTAGTTGAAACCAAAACTGAAATTCAAGACACACTGGGTCAAAAAATGAAACCGAAAGCAGAAAAATGCTGACGATAAGTGAAACCATGTATAAAATTAACTTAATGAAAAAACTACAGTATTTATCATGAAATCCTTGACAGCAGAGAGCAGCTGGTCATCCAAGTCAATAAATTTGATATTTATTTTTAGTTATAATTCACACTTTAGCTCTGAACTGTAGCTACAGATGGCATTGGTGTGCTAGCAGGGGCTTCCCTTTCTGCTTCTGTTTTGCTGTATTCTGCATATCAAGCAGGACGTTGTGTTTTCAAATGATGTCAAATCTGTAATGGAGAAGCAGCCTCTTAATACTCGACATGAACAGAGATTGTACATTGTTTGTCTAGTGTCCCATATAGAAACATGAAATAGTCTCACACAGCTGCTATTTTCACTGTTGATCCGCTGCTGCTCAAACTGTTTGAACACGCAGGATAGCGAAGGGAACAATAGGCCTCATTCGCCAATATCTTTCCTAAGTTTCTTCTTAAATGTTTTCTTGAGAATAGTCCTAAGAAAAATCTCTGTCAGATTCACGACGTGTTCTTAAACTGCAGGATTGTTCTCATCTTTGTGCTCTTGAGTGTGCGTAGATTCTGTTTTTACCTAAGAACAAATCCCAAATAAGAAATCACTGGTGAATGTCAGAATCTTTGTGAAAATTGCATAAGTGGGTTTTAAGATGAAATTTCGGTAGCACTTTCTATGAATGTCACCTTTGTAAGCATCTATAAACACATTTATAACATGTTATAATGCATTCATATTCATTAAATATTCATTAAAATTAATTACACTGAATTACACTTTATAGCCATGTTTATTATACATTATGAATTGTTAATATAATGCATTATAAGTAGTGTTAATAAGATGTTATACTGTCAGGGCCAAAGAAGTCAGTTCCAGCTTGGAGAGCGTAAAGTAAAGACAAATGTATAGTTTATTTACTTACTGAGATTTCCAGTATTTTATTTCTCACTGTTAGTGCTGTCAGAGCTGCACCTTCAGGGCTTCAGTCCTGAATATTCAGATGCTCCAAACAGGCTGTCCAGCCTAGAATTGTTGCTACAATGTGCTTTTCTTAAACAGCGTCTCACTTTAAATGTTACATTACATCACAGCAAACCCCATCAGCCCCTCCCCTGGACATCACTGAGTGTGAAGTCACTGTGGAGTGAAGGCCTGGAGAGGGAGAGGCGAGATAGTAGAGCGCTGTCATTGTCATTTGTTTCCTCACTGGTTCTAACGTCAAACACTAGAACCCTTCACTCTGTAATACTGCACTGCACTACACTACACTACAGTAATGCTAATCTCTGCTAGCATTCTATTGGATATGCAGTGTTAAGTTAGTGCCAAGCTAATGGTGGTGTACATTGACATTTGAAGCCCGTAATGTGCTTTATTATGTATGTTTTAGTGTTTCAGTAAATCCTTCAGTAAATACTTCAACTTGAAGCCTCACTCTTAACACTGGAGGAGGCTTTAGTACAGTACGCTTCACTACTTAGAGCGGACAAATACAACTTATGAGCTCTTATAATTTGTTATGAACAGTACATATAATGTATTATATTAACAATGCATAATGCATAATAAGCATGGCTATAATGTGTAATACATTTTTATAAATATTTATAGCTATGTTTATAATGCCTTATGAATGCATTATAACATGTTATGAATGTGTTTATAGATGCTTACAAAGGTGACATTCATAGAAAGTGTTACCGAAATTTCTTTAATGAGAACAGTTGGTGAATGAGGCCCATTGTTGTTTTGTTTATTTATTGTGTTTTTATTCATTTCCATTCTCTCTTTTGGCTGAAAACTGAATGTGCCACTTTTGACCATGTTTGTTGGCTGAGATTTGATGCATCCCTACCTTCCTATGTATGTATAACACAGCTGAGCTCTTTATTGAGACTGTTATGGCCGAAATGTTAGATTGTTCATCTGATTTTTAAATACTGAATAATAAACACTAAAAAACGTTGTTATCAGCCCATATTTTAAGGTCTGAGTATAAAACACCACAATTTCTCTCAAATCAAACGAATACACTGCATATAAAGCAGTCAAGTGAGCATTGAATGTCTGCCTTGTGCTTCACAGCTGCTAATCTGGACCCAATCAGATTAGACTGGAGAGAAAGCAGCACTTTAGTAATACATCCTCCCCCTCTCGCCTTTGCTCACTGCAGCACAGACAGTCGTAACCTCAGTTTTACTTTGTCTGCTGTGATATAATCAGCCAGAGGATGAGAATATTTATGTAATTTCTATAATAATCCATAATTCCAGCAGCATGCTCTTAAAGGCCTAATCCCAGCCTGCCAAAGAGCTGGCAGCAAAAAACAAATGGACTTGGTGTAATCTGTCTTCTTTTTTCTTCTTTTTTTTTGCACTAGATGACCAGGGATGTGAAAAAGGTAAGTATGCTATAATGTAGTTCATACAAACATACAGGCACAAATACACACACAGTTCATGATCACCACGATTAGGAAATGAGAGCAGTCTGTCACTTAATCCAGCTTTAATGCCTCTTCTGTTAGTCAGTCTGGACAGATATTCCTCCTGCTGCGCACGCACATACACAAACACAAACACAAACACAAACACAAACACAAACACAAACAAATACACACACGCACAGCTGAATACAAGTACTGAGCTCATACAGTGTAATATTATGAGGACTGAGCGTAACGGCTGGCAGAAAGTGCTTAAGAAGCACTTAGACTGTTGATATTGTGTGGAGATTATTGCTCAAGTGCTCAAGCCAGTGGACTGTGGCGATAGCATCTAATATTTATACAAAGGATAAATCTGATGCTAAAGTCTGATTGGCTGAGCCACTAGAAATGTTGCTGTAAACCCTTAATATATAAATATGACTGTGAATATCAACTGAATTCTGTAATAACGCTCATGAGATAATCTTTGATCATTATGTTGCTTGGCAATGACAACAACAATAACCTATATTAACAACACACTACTAGTAACAAACTACATTTCTTGGTAAAAGACTAGTTTATTGTGATTGTTATGAATTTGACTCAAACTTATTTTAGACAAAAGTTCTTCTAACTCACATTTTAGAAGTACTCACAGTTAGGTGAACAGTACAGTGTAAGTTGAGATTTATTTAAAAAATAAAAAAACACTATGTGGTCGTCTGGTTTTAGACTGAAATTGCTTTACTTTTTTGTTGGATTTTTGACTCAGTTTAGCCTGTTTTTTACAAATTTGGTAATTCCCATCCATAGACTAGCTCTCCCCCTGCCTCCAGGTTGTGGGTTAAGGGCTTCCCCCTCCCTGACACCTGACCTTGGAGGACCATCATTTCACCAGGATTTGAACTCATGATCTTTTAATGATCAAGCAGTGAGATTGATCTACTGATGATCAGCCACTCAGACAGGCCAGTCTGGCAACTTTAGCCCCCACACTTTCTGCTCCCTGCACCTCTGTTTTGGAACTGCAGCTGCACTTTCAGCTTTCTGTTGCTCTCTGAGTGTATAAAATGTAAGCAGGTTCAGCTCGTGTCTTCAAATAATGACTTTGGCGCCCAAACAGTGTATGATACGTCTAACAAAGAGCCATTTGAGATTCAGCGACATACTGTACATAGTACAGTATTTTTGTGTAAAAGTCCGAATTTCATAACTCACATAGTGCGTTTTGTATGGAGTAAGGAGCCATTTGGGACTCAGCCATGATGTTTGAGGGTTTCTAAAGACATCGTGCACTGCCTTCCATGCCCCCCATGTAATAAAACACAATGTATGGTAGCTACTAAGCCTCTCAACCACTGTGCAACATCATATCCAAGTTTAAGAGTGTGGTCCTGTGGTTCTGCAGTTAGACCCACCTCTGCTCTGGAGCTGCTAAATTACCGAAAGAAAAATGAAAAAACATCAAAATGTTTAATTAAATCTTAAATTGTAATTTAAGACGTTTCTTTCAGTAACTTCATATAAGCTTGTGTTCTTTATCGAAGCACTGATAATGGTCTCTGAGTATTTAAAAGGTTAGCAATTTCAGCCCATAAGAAGGAAATCCCACTGAGTAAGCTTAAACTGTATTATTGGACTAACTGAGATAAAACATCAGTAAGCGCAGAACCTCACACTGTGCCTAACAACACTTAATCGTGGTAAAATCACTGTAACACGCAGTCTCTCTTACTGCTTTGATACACGCTGGCTCATAGATTCAAGTGGACCCTGTCCACACTTTACCATTCTCCTATCATCCTCCTCTCTTTTCCTTCCTTCCTTAACTCTACTGCTGATTACTCTAATATTTCTCTTTCTCTCTCCATTCATTCTCCTCACATTCTATCTAGTTTATCTGTTTCCAAGAGTTTATTACTGATTAATTGAGTCTATTTTTTGGTTTGGCCTTTAAAAATGTATATTACTTCATTAAAGTAAGCCGTAGTTTACTCAATCAGTGATATAATTTTGAGTGACAGGCCTACTGTCCATTAGCCTTTAGCTTCTCTTAACAACAGTAGCTAGATAATAATAATAATATAATAATATAATACATACAACAGCTTTGAAGTTTAATTGATATCTGTCATACTCGTTATTCTAAAACACCAAAGTGAAAATAAAACAGTAAAAGGACAGAGTATCAGTTTAGCCAGAATTAGTTAGCCAGTCAGCTAATGGCTGGTTCCTCAGGGTAAAGGCTGAGTTGTGAAAAGCAGAGATTTCGGCAGGTTTTGCGAGGCACATTTTCTTTAGTTCATTTGAAAATGAATGAAGATGATGCATTGAATAAAGTCTGGTCCTCATGTGTGCTGTTAACTTCACATCTCTCACATCTCATCAGGGCTAAAGTGTTTTGGAGCTGCTCTGCTTTAAATGTTTTTTTTTAGAACTGAATCTTTTAAATTTAGCCAGGCTTTCTTTTGATTGGTTTATGAGCCAAAACTCACATTTATTTTTGCTCTGTAACAGTTATAAATAGTATAGTAGAGAAGTAAAAGTGCTTTAATTAAAAGTAACAGTGGTCTGATTTAATTGTACCATTACAGGGAATAAATGGACACGGTTGCCTTTTTAATTACATCCACAGAAAATGAATCAGAGCACAAACCTCTTCATTCAACATGTTTATGATCCCAGTTTAGACATTTGTTTGTGCCAACAGTTACCATAGTGACATATGACAATCACACCTCCCTATAGTACTGTTCCACACTCTACCAGATGGTCTTTCTCTCTAACGGGCAGCCCCTTCCCGGTATGGCTGCTGCGGCCTGCTGAAAATCCTCTATAGTACTGACTGTGCTGCCTGAGAGTGGGTGACACTCACCCAACCCAGTGGATCAGCATCGTAACAGGAACATCACAATGATAACATTGTCAAATCACTTAAGCACAGTACTGCCCCATACCTGCTGCCTGCCTACCTGTATATGTGTGTTCCCCTGCCTGTGACCCCTCCCCTCCACCCCATTGCTCCCTTCCTCTCCTTCGCCTCTCTTCTTCCTCGGCTCATTCCCTTTCTCTCCCTGCTTGCCTCCCTACAGACGACTGTGACTGTGAGGGCTATTTCAATGGACACTACATAGGTGAGAGCCTGCATGCCTCCTCCGCTCCCGACCACCCACCCACTCACACGCCCACCCACTGACGGCACTGACTGTTTCAGAGTGCGCTGCCTGCGTCCCACATGCTGACCCGCCGTTCAAAATACACTGACCGTGTGTGCTTGGTTCTGTGCCAGATCATGAGTAGTAGCAGCAGGTGCAGGAAGGGTCAGGTCACGAAGAGAGCAGATGGTGAAAGAGGGAGCATAAGGTGAAATAAAACAATATGGGGAGGTTATTTTACTGCCGAGAGGCTTTCAGATGCAGACAGGCAGACTACTGTGCAACACTCAGAAACAACCCTTCATTTTTTCCGGTCAAAACGCCCATCATGTACAAGTTATTCAGGAGATATTTCTGAAAATCTGTAAAAATAAAAAAAAACACAAGTTTCCAAAACTGGAGTTTATAAACAACATAGAGAAAATTGGGTTCCCAACATCCGTGCAAGACCTGGTCGCTTAAAGCTGTCATCTTTGAAAGGGAGGAGAAAATCAAGCTCCACTCTTGCTTCAGATCTGGAAAAGACACTTCTGTCCATCCATCCACTGTGAGAAGACAACCCTATTAGTCTGAAAGGATGTGTAGCTCTTAAGAAGCCCTTACTGAGAAGAGACCACAGAAAAAAAGAAGAACTTTTGCAAATCAAACAAAGAAGCTGCTGGTGTTCTCAGAACTGACTGACCAGAACTGACTGAGTCCAGACCTCATCATTGTTGAATGTGTTTGGGATCACTTGGATCGTCAAAAGTAGAAAATGCAAAACCAACTTCTAAGACTGAACTTTAGAGGTGTAAAAAAATATATACCTGCAAATTCCTTTACAAAAAGGAAGGCAAGTCTTCTATAAAGAATGGAAGCTGTAATAAAGACAAAGAGTGGACACACTAAATACTGAATAATGATCAGTGGTTCAGGTTTCTGTGTAATTTTCTGTTAAATATGTTTTATACTTTTTTCCTGACACTGAAAAAGTGAATAACTTGAACATAATGACTGTTTTGACTGGAAATCAAATAACTGGAGGGTGGTTTCTGACTTGCACTGTACTGTGTGCTTGAATGTAATATGTATCTATGAGAAAGAAGTAAGGGAATGTGGGTAGAGATGTAAATTGTAAATACCAGACAAATGCTCTCATTCACACTTCTGTTTCACTCTGAGAGAGAGTGAGAGAGAAAGTGTCACCTCTTTCTTAAATGTGTTACAGACAAGTCTGTCATATTAGAACCTCATTTAGTAAATAGTGCTAATATGGCTTCTACTGTGAGAGCGAGAGAGAGAGAGGGGTGTGAGAAGCGTGTCTAGGTGTTCACAGCAGACGGATGTAAGGAGACAGGCACAGACATGGGAAGCTGTCTAACAGCAGTTTTCCTGTCTCACATCTTCCAAGGTCACCTTGACACCATACAGTCCTTGTTCCATCTGTATGACCTGTAAAGATGCAGGGAACAGCGCCCTCTACTGCTGAAAGGGAGAGCTGTCAGTTCAAACTAGTTTTAGAGAAGTCCATAACCTGATACCTGGGGTTAAAAGAATATAGCGGTTAAAGTCAAGAGATCCAAAGTAGAGGTGCTACCAAAGGCTATTAATATGTATGTACCTATTTAATGTAAAGAGAGAAGTGAGTGTCTATTGAAGGTTACCAAGGTTCTATGATTAGGGGCTCAAGAAGTACAAATATAACAGTCCATGAAACTCATAAAAAAAGACTTTAACCCCTTAAAATACCAAGTACATACTAAGGTTTACTATTCAGTAACTACAGGGACTTCAGTGCAAACTGGCTGAGCTATTCTTAGGTTCTAGAAGTGTGTAATAAAACTTTGGGCCCACTGGCGGACCCTGGCCATTTAAGGGGTTAAAGGGGATGCCACCTTGCCAACATGCAGAGTATTCTGATGTGAAATGATGCACTGTAGAGAAACTTAGTGACTTGGAATTGTTTACAGTGGTGGTAGTAGGAACTATGGGTCACAATAACTACAACACAAATATAGCCATTTTGTTTACTATTCAAAGTGACCAGTGAACCTACTTTTGCCTTCTGAGTTGTTATGTATGTAATGTTGATGAGGTAAAATAGTGGTACATCTGACAAAGTACATTTTCTTTGGGGACTATATTACCTCACACCCTGTATGTACCTCTCCACCATGAATGAATTCAAAATAAACAGGCCAAAACTTTAACCCTTCTTAAAAACTATCGTAAATCAGTGTCTTAAACATCAGGCAGCAGATTCATAAGCATTAAATGGAATAAATTTCTGTGAGGGAGATTTTAGAGGCGTGAAATATTTCAGACATTTGGTTCCTGTCACCACCACTGTGAGCAGTTGTGGCTCTGTAATTTTCTCAACAGTGGAACATTTCACATCAAACCACTCTGAAAAACTTGGTTTAAATCCCCACAATTCAATTATGATGAAGTTTTGAGAAATTAGTGGAATTCCCCTTTAATACATCAAAACAAAAAAAAAATTTAGCCCAGTGTGTTTTGGTACAGGCTTTGATCAGAGATAGCATCATATGTGTCATGTTGAGACGTTACCCTCTCCTCCTTCCCTCCTCCCTCCATCCTCCCGCCTCTGCCTCTGTTGCCCTGTGCCTTGGTCCATGACCCTTTCCCGCTGACCTTCACCCCAAAGCCACCGCCAAGGCTGCTGCCCCGCTATTGGCCGCTCGTCACACTCCGCCCCGCACGATTGGCTGCTCGTTCACTCACTGGTTTAAGTGTGTGATGGCTGATGTGCGTGATGGGAACGCTCTGCCCTTTACAAGTGACCTGGGGTCAGGCTTACCATGCCAGCTATGTAAAGATGGTTAGATTGGCCTAAAGGAGATGATACAGGGACAGGTTTTGTTCCCAAAGGAAAAGTCAGATTAAGGTTAGAGAAAGATGTCTCTTTTGTAGTGCTGGACATATTCACTGGTCACTTGGGAAAACCAGGACCAGGAAAAAAGGCTGTTTCAGAATCTGTTATGTACAATACTGTGTAAAAGTCAGAGACCACCATTCATCCATTTATTTAATTTCGAGTCAAAACAGCCATGAAGTTCAGGAGATATTCCTGAGGAGATTAGATATAAGGTAATCCATAAAGTCCATAAGAAAGGAAAGAGTCAAAGGAAAATAAGGGAAAAACAAGAGTTAAAAACATAATGAAAAGATATAGACGATCAAGATCCATTCTTCCTTTCTGTCTGACAAAAAAATTCAGTTTCTGTCCATCCTTTCACTGTGTGAAGACAGCCAGGCACTATGGGTCTGAAAGGATGTGTAGCTGTCAAAAAGCTCTTAATGAGAAAAGGAAACACACAAGAAAGGAGAACATCTGCAAATGTTCTAGAAGGTGTAGGAGGCACTCTTTGGGTAAATCTATTAGTTGTAGGGTTCCCCAAGGACACATGTTAGGGCCGCTGTTTTTCCTTTGTAAGCTGCAAGCTCATGTGAACAGACAAGAGTACTGGTAAGCGTACATTAAGTAAAGAACCTTTGAAAGTTAGTAGAAGGATGTCTGAGAACAGGTTGTCACTTCATTTGGGGAAAACAGAATCTATTCTGTTTGGTACAAGAACAAAATTACAAACATCTTTAGGTTTCAAGGTAGTTGTTGGGGAAACTGTAGCAGCTAAGAATTCAGTTAATTGTTTAGGATGTACCTTGGACAGTTGTATATCAGCAGGGGTTCAGCCAGATAAGATTTTGACTAAGGTTAACCAAAGGATTTGTTTTCTTACCAGAATTTCAAGGTTTTTGGTAGGAAAAACAATGGCTACCTTGGTGGGAGTTTTGGTTCAGTCTTATTTTGATTATGCTTGCTGTTTTTGGTATGATGGTATTTCAAAGTACATTAAAAATAGGCTTCAAAACTTATTTGAAACCTTGCTATGCGAACTCACCTGGAATCGTCTTATTATGAAATGCATGGGTGGTTAAACGTCCAGGACAGAGTCGCCTTGATAGGGTTGTGTAGTATGTATAAGATTGTACATGGGGCTGTTCCTCAGTGCCTTAAACATTATTTTACTCAGGTGAAAGATGCTCAGTTATTCTACCAGAAGGTGCTCCTTGTTTTAAAGGTAAAGTGGGTAGGGACACTTTTAGGTAGGTAGCAGCAACTTTGTGAAACTGGTTGCCAGGAAGTTATTGTTAATATTGTATTTTAATTGGTGCCATGCTTGTGATGTTACATCTGCTGCCTACTCTTGGATGTGTTTAGTTCAGGAACCACAATAGAAATAAGTCTAAATAGATGTTCTGTCTTATTACCAACTGTTTCTGTTTTTCAATATATGCATTGCACAAATCAACCAATCAATCAGTCAAACAAAAATCTGCTGGCATTCTCAGAAGAACAGACTGACCAACTGAGTCCAGTCCTCAACAGCACTGAATGTGTTTGGAATTACTTGGATTGCGAGAAGCAGAAAATGCAACCAACTTCTAAGACTGAACTTTGGAGGTGTGGGAAAAAAAATCCCTGCAGATTTCTCTGAAAAACTGAAAGTAAGTCTTCTGAAATGAATGGACGCTGTCAAACAGATAAAGTGTGGACACACTTAATAGTTAATGACCATTTTAACTGTAAATGAAATCAATCAAAGGTTGTCTCTGACTTTGGCACAGTACTGTAGGTCTGATGTTTTCTGGGTAGGACCAAGATTAGGTTAGTGAAAGCAGACCTCAATTACAGACTGCTGGCCTAGGGTTGGTGTTGAGGGCAGAGGGTGGCCTGTGCGCGAGTGTATAGTGGTCTAATACGCGTTGTAGTCTCTCCGAAGTGTAAAGCGGTGGCGCCCTCCTGTGGCCAGGTGTTTTCCTGGGACTTTTATTCAGGTACAGTCCCTGTTCACTCCACTCAGGTGCCACCACTAACCCCTTAAAACAGCTGTGCACTTCACTTTCTTATAGATAGAATGACAGATTATGCTTCCACTGAGACTCGGCTACGTTCTAAGCTAATATTTATGTAATGATGTAAAAATAAAGTTTAACACTCATTTACAAACCAGTTGCAAAACTCATGAAGCATGGACATAACCTGTCATTAAAGAAAGGACTTTTCAAATCATTAGTCTTCCCTTTGGAAGTGCATGCAGTGTCAAGTGTAAATGTATTTCTATTACTTTGATTACTTATGACTTTGATGATCCTGCTTGTTTTGGGAAATGCTTTTGTTTTCAATTTGTAATTTAAATGTTAAGGGCACCACTGAATCTCAGATCTAAAATATCCACTTCTTTGAGAGTCTTATTTCAGAAATTGGGTTATTTATCCATTCATAGGGTACGATTATGTTGGGTACACATCTTTTTAGCACCCATTTAATAATTTACAGTTCTCAGAATCTGCTTTACAGCCTTTTTTGACCTTTTGACACTTCTTGTCTCCTTGTATCAGCTGGTCTGCGAAGGAGTTTCCGCCTGAGTCGCAAAGATCGTCAGGGGTCATCAGGAGAGGCCAATGCGTCTGAGCCCGGTGAGCCAGAGTTCCTGACCTACGAGGAAGTGACACGGTACCAACAACGACCCAATGAGAGACCTCGGCTGGTGGTGCTCATCGGTAAGGCGGCGAATCATTTGTTTTTGGAGGATTTTGGGTGAAATCACAGAGCAGGAAAATCACACGGATTTTACGTGTGAATAATCATATTTTTTCACATAGAATCTCTTCATATAGAATACACATTTTAAATTAAAATATTAAAATATTCAATATTCAATATTAATTTAAATATTTTTTTTACATGTTGATCTGCCCCCAGGTTACGTCTGAATTCTGGAACAAATCGTCAACAAATATATAACACCCAGTTAAGCCATCATGAAAAGATCAGTTAGATTCTCAACCGGCAGTGAACAGATCTGATTTAAGCATGTAGAACAAGGACTGTTTCATTCTGTTAGAACAGGGGTGCCAAACTCAACCACTAAAAGGGCCATATTAAAAAATCTTAATAAATCAGGGGGCCAGAGAACACCTTCGTTTTTACTTCATTTTTCAGTAACGTTTTGCTATAACCTGAACTGACCACTGTTTATTCAAAATATGTCAATAGCAATATGTAGGCACTTGTAGTAAACTTTAAAATATTACATGAATGATATGATTGGGAAAAAAAATACTTGGAAAAAAGATTTTGCCAGGAGGTAAGTTTATTCATTCTTGCGATCAGTTTCTGAGCTGCTGAGTGTTTATCGTGTTTTATGTTGCTGCAGTGCAGCTAGTCTGTCTGATGATGTGACTGGTGTGGAACTGTGTAGAATTTGGTGGAATTGTGTTACGGCTGTCCCATAGATTGTTGCTGGGGGAGGGGGATGGGAGCGTACATTATGTTGCAGTGCATGCTGGGAACTGTAGTGCAGCGTGTTTTAGAAAGGACTAATATTAATAGAAAATTAAAATACTTTTGCGGGCCGGATAGGATTGTGTCACGGGCTGATCTGGCCTGCTGGCCTTGTGTTTGACACATGGGTGTTTTTGGTTTTTTGATTTTCAATAATGATGAAAAAGGTCTAAGGCATTGCGCTTCACGTGTTTTAAGAACAATTTCAGAGTCCCTTAACCACGACCCCCAAGACATGACTGGAATAAGACCAAGACAGTTAATTATTGGTCTTGAGTCTAGTCTCGATACCAAGACCAGCCTGAGTACTACAGTATTACTGTGTTGTTCCATCGTATAAAGTATTTTGACTGGGTGTGCAGGTGTGAGTGCATCTGCCTTCTTACTGATACTGAATGGCATAAATCACTCAGCAGTACGCTAAAAAGTGGCTTTAAGGAGCACTCACGATTAGATACTAACATGAGTTTATTTATAGGACATGAAGACTTAAAAAAAGCTCGTCCCTGTTTCTTTGGTAGGTTATGCTTTCTTGCTGTGAGGTGCTCTGCTACTCAAAGCTCTATGCTTTTTGTCTCATGTAGCTGATAGCAATAAATAATTGAACAGATAAATAGATAAGTGAAATCTCTTCCGCACAAAATAATCCCCACAGACCCCCCACCGCACCCCACAGAAGAGGTCTGGGCTAAGCCGTCTCAGTGTCTTTAGATCTTATCAATGCCCCCGATAATCGCTCAAGAAAAAGTTTAAAATGTTTTTAAAAAAATTTAAAAAGGGCAGTCAGCTCCCAGGAATCACCCCAGCAGCATGACTCTCCTCACTCTGCAGAGCAGGTTTTGTTGCAATCACAACAGAATGGATTTAACTCCTTAAATGGTCAGGACCCACCAGCAGGTCCAGAGTTTTACAACATACTTGTATAAGCTAAGAATAACTCAGCCAGTTTGCACTGTAGTCTATGTAGTTACTGAGTAATAAGCCTTAGTATGTAACAAGCCTGAGATCTGTAGCAGTATTAAACTCTGATGCAGTGTTTCCCATAGGTCTGAAACTTGGGAGAAGCACTGTGAGGGGGTAGGGACTAGTTCTTTTAACACAGGCCTATCTGAACTCATCATAGCATTTGCTTACTTATTTGGGTATTTGAATAAGGCAGGGGGTCCCCAGCCCTGGTCCTGGAGAACTACCATCCTGCACAGTTTAGCTCCAACCCTGCTCTAGCACACCCGATGCAGCTAAGGAAGGTTTTCAGGAGCAGCTGAATATGAGAGCCACATGTATTGACCTGGACTCTACAGGGTGGTAGATCTCCAGGATTGGGCCCCCCTAGAAATAAGGCACTAAAAAAGTGAGTGTTAAACTTTCCTGTTTTTCTTTTTTAGATATGAAGGAGTATAGACTTCTATATAGCACAGACTTGGTTAAAGTGAAGATTGATGCTTTACATCAATGACATTGTGTTTATTCTTAAGAATATCTAATACTTTCTCTTTGTAATTTGCTAAAATGGGAAAAAAAGGAAATCAGACATAGTTGAAATGTACTATTCAGGTCATTTTAGATTGGCAGGACAAATGGAAATGTTTTGTTTATAATAAAAAACATCACAAACAGGCAAAATCCATCTACATGTAGGTGCTCATTATCACACAGCGATAATGTCATGTGGCTGCTTATTGAAATCAGAAAGGTCTGGCTGAAGGATATAATTGAATTAAATTAGATATTTAGCTTGCTGTTCCTCACTCAGTGGGCGAGAGAGAGAAACTGTTTGATGCCACAGCTACAGTAGCAGCTTACACACTGAAAAGAGACAGTTCTTCAAGGGTTCTTTAATAAAGAAAGTGGTTCTATATAGAACCATGAACACTCAAACAACCCTTTGCATGATAAGAGGCTTCTTTGCATGGTAAAGTGGTTCTTCAGATTGATGGAGAATGTGTTGTATATGGTTCTATATAACACCAAAACAAGCTTGATATCATAACTATAGCAGAACTCTTTTTGGTGCTATATAGAACCATTTTCAAAACGGTTCTATATAGGACCATATACAGCACATTCTCCATCAATCTGAAGAACGCTTTTACCATCCAAAGAACCTTTAAAGCATACAAAGTTTGTTTGAGTGTTCATGGTTCTATATAGAACCATTTTATTTACTGAAAAAGCCTTAAAGAACCATCTTTTTAGAGTGTACTTGTAGAGACATTTTGTCTATTTTCAATAACAAAGAAAGTATTTTGCTTGGTTTAATCTACATATTTCAAAAGTACTAGATATGTGTACCATACTGGGATAACAATCAAAATTCCCTTTAAAATGCTCTGTAAAGAATAAAAGAATCATAACTATTTACTGCACAGTGTTAATGGTGAAACATATTGATATAGAGTTGAACATGCAGTCACGTGATCACATTGTATTCACTTATTTGCTTATTTAAATACATATACCAAATCAAAATAGGCTCCTGATTCTTGTATCTGCAAATCTTAATGGCCCATTTTAGACTCGCATTCAAATTTCAAGTGGTGATACTGACCCCTAGTGGTAGTCAATAAATCACACTGCTGTAAATCTGCTTTGCGGTATGTTTTATGTGGGTAGAACAAGGACTGAAGTAATGAATTCACATTTAAGCCCTGATATCACTAGGCAGTCATATTCTGAAAAAGATATGGCTCATATGCATTGCACTGAATGACTGATGTTGGGTTTATCTTGCAGGTTCTCTCGGAGCGCGCATCAATGAGCTGAAGCAGAAAGTAATAGCAGAAAACCCCCATCGCTACGCTGTGGCCGTCCCCCGTAAGTCCCTCCACATCATCAATCAAAACCACTGTCTTCAGAATACACATAATACATACTGGAGAATGACTCAAACACATCGACTGTAGATATTCTGCAATTCGAATATTTGGAAATTACAATCACATTTACCATTTTTTGAAAAATTCATAAGTGCTAATGATGCAGATCTTTTCAGTTAAAATGATAGTTCGGTGAAAAATCAAATGCACTTGTCTTATTTATTTAAACTGATTTCTTGCCCAAATATTCCTGCAAGGACACCATCTAAAGTTCTACTTCTTGACATGTTCTACTTACTTCATAAAGTTGCCACAGTTTATGATCTTCCTACATAAGGTATATACACTGACAAGCCAAAAGTCATTGGACAGGAACTAGTATCGTGTAGGACCCCCTCCAGCCTGGCGAAGTGCACCAACTTGACATGGCATCGATTCCACAAGTGGACAGCAGACCTCAGGAGGGATATTGAGCCATGCCGTCTGGACAGCCACCCACAGCACTGTGGTATTTGTAGGTGCTGGATCTCGGGTGCGAATGGACCTCTCCACCACATCCCATACATGCTCGATTGGGCTCATGTCGACAAAACGTGCAGGACACACCATTCATCAGAACTCTCCAGAATAATCCTCAAACAAATTCTGGACATTTTGGGCCCAATGGCACGGTGCATTATCCTGCTGGAATATCCCATCATTGTGGGGGTACATGAAGTCCATGAAGGGCTGCAAATGGTCACCAAGCATTAAAACGTAACAGTCACTGTTCAACGATGTGTTTAGGTGGACCAGTGGACCCAACCAATGTAATGAGAACACATCCCACACCATTATGGAACCACCGCCAGCCTGCACAGTGCCTTGTTGACAGCTTGGGTCCATGGCTTCATGGGGCCTGCACCACACACAAATCCTACCATCAGCCTGAAACAATTAGTACCGTGACTTATCAGACCACGCCATACGTTGCCAGTCCTCTAGCACGCTGGCCAGTGTTCAGCCTCACTCACAGGATAACACCTCACAACCTGTACAGGTGTGGCCGTTCCCAAACCGTCCCCTGAGGTAACGGCACTCCATAATCAGTTTACATACTGCTATCCATGACTTTTGGCATGTCAGTGTAAATATATCACATTAGTGACAAACCTTGTCTATTAAAGCTAGGCCTTCAGTATGAGACACGACCCACCATGCTAATTTCTGCCTATAGAATTTAATGGTATGCCATCGCTAAGCTAATGCAAGTGCACATTTTTGAAATTTTCCTGATTAAACAAAGACATTAAAAGCTTACAATAGATATTTCACATGTTGTATTTATAACTTGTACCAGATGTTAACAAATAACATGTTAACCTTTTCCAGACATGTATGTTTAGTTGTACACCAAACCCTGAGGGCTCTCCAGTGAACTGCAGAGCAAAGGAACTGTGGTTAAGACACAGCACATTTCGTCTGTCTCACCCTGCATGGCGTTTCTGGAGGAAACTTTTTATTGAACTAGTCTGTAAATGTCTCTCCCTTCTAACCTTTCTAAAGACACCACACGGCCTAAGAAAAGCCATGAGAAGGAGGGTGTGGAGTACCACTTTGTCACCAAGCAGGCCTTTGATGCTGACGCCCAGAACAACAAGTGAGTGAGAGAGCACAGCTGTGAGCTTTTGAGCACTAAAGGCTTAAGTCGGTTCTGCTCTGATGGTTTGGCATTGATTTTCTAGAGTAAAAGCGCACATCAGCCAGCAGAAGCAGAAAACGGGCTCACACGGAACAGTGATTTGTGGGAAGTTCACATTTAAGCCTCAGTCCAATAAGCCGATTTTTCTTAGACATAACCATATGGCTCATAATCACAGTTAATTCACAATAATTTCATATAATAAGTTAACAAAAATAATTTCACTGTGGATGTAGTTTTCGTATGTAGTGACCCAAAGCTCTCGCCTCGCTGTGGTGGTCACTTACTGTGGCAGTAATGATGAATGATGTAATCAATGGGGTTTATCACTGCTGTTGCCGTTGCTTGAAACAGCTTGTAATGCTAACAATAGATTAATATATCACAGAATAAGAAGACAAGCCAAGTGAACGGAGGGAGGACATTTAAGAACACTCTGAATGGGGGGAATATTCTAGAACATTATGAATAAGAAGAAGATCCTAGAATAGTGTAAATGGGAGAGAACACATTAGAACAGTGTGAATAGGGACAACATTCTAGAATATTCAATGGAGAAGAACATTCTAGCACAGGGTGAATGGGGAGAACACTTCAGAGCCTTGTGAATGGAAAGAACATTCTAGAAAACTGTGAATGGAGAGAACATTCTAGAAAACGCATGGGTGGGGAGAACATTTTAGAAATCTGAATGGGGAGAGCATTATAAAACTGTGTGAATGGGGAGAACATGCTAAAACATTGAATGGAGCAGAACATTCCAGCAAAGCATGAATGAGGAGATCATTCTAGAAAAATGTGAACTAGAGAAAACACTCTAGAAAAAAACATGGATAGGGAGAACATTTTAGAACAGTGTCAACGAGGGAGAACATTCCTGAAAAGGATGAATGAGGAGAACATTCTACAACTGTGTAAATAGGAAAACATTTTAGGGAGATTATTTTAGAACTATAGAACGGGAATAACATTCTATAACAAGTGATGGAGGAGAACCCTCAGCAGAAATAGGGAGACTGTTTTAGAACAGTGAATGAAGGAGAACATTCTAGAACAGTGTGAATGGGAAAAACATTCTAGAACAGTGTGAATGGAGAACAAATTGGGAGATTATTTAAATACAGTGTACATTCTAGAACAATGTGAATGGGAAGAACATTCTAAAACTGCGTAAAGGAGGAGAATGGGAAGAACTTTGAATGGGGATAACATTCCCAGAACAATGGATGGAGAACATTTTAAAACCACAAGAATGGAGATTCACATTGGGTGAATAAGAGTGTAAATAGGGAAGAACCTTCTAGAACATTGTGTATGGGCAGATTATTTTCGAACTATGAATGGGGATAACATTCTAGAACAATGGATGAAGGAGAACCCTCATCAGGGATGTACAGACGATGTTAGAACTGTGTATGGGGAAAATATTTAAGAACATTGTACATTCTAGAACAGCATGAATGGGGGAGAACATTGTAAAACAGTGTGAATGTGGTGAACATTCTAGAAGAGTGTGTATGGTGGAGAACGTTCTAGAACAGCACAAATAGGAGAGTATTCTAGGACAGTCTGAATGGGGGGAACATATGTTTTCATCATAAACGTCTTTCTGTGTTCTGCTGTCTCCCGCTGTGCAGGTTCATTGAGTATGGAGAGTACAAGGAGAACCAGTACGGCACCAGTATAGAGGCAATCCGCTCTGTTCAAGCCAAGAACAAGATGTGTCTGGTGGACGTGCAGCCTGAGGTATGGCGGATGATTAAGGCCCAACAGTAAACCAGATCTTCTACCTTGTTTCTAGCCAGGCGGTTAAAAGAGAACCCTGAGAAAAACTCAGCAACAACAGGCAACGTCTAGCAACTTGTTAGGCACTCGTTGTTGTGTCCTTTTTAGAATTGCTTCTTCTTGCCACTTGATTGTTTGATGACGTCTTTCTTCTGGTGGCTAAATAACAGACTGATCAGTCTACCTAAGCCAATCCTATTTATATGCAAAACCAGAGCAGGCCTCAGTACTCGCAAGGCAAGAAAATCGCAACCTCAAGAGGGAACACTTCATTTCATATAACTCTTAAAATGTAAATCTGCTGCCCCCTAGTGCTTCACTTGTGCTCTGTGCATCTAACTAGCAGATTTCACAGCAGCCAGAAAGCAGAGAAGAGAAAAGCACTTCAAATTTCATCAGCAAAAATGGTGTTTCCATTGTAAAAGAGCACTTGAACACCAAACAGGCAAACAGCAACACTTCAGAGTGAACAGAGGCCTTCAAAACCTTTAAAAACGTCTCCAGGCAGTCATTGAACACAACGATTACCTTTATAAAACTACACTTTATGAGCTCTTCATATGTCAATTATTAGATTAGAAGAAAATAATTATAGTAATAGGCAAAAGAATACAATGCAATTTCAAACAGATTATAAGCACAAGCATTTGTGCCAGTACTTCTGTATATTGTGTCTGTGATTATAACTGAGCTGTACAGTTGTGCAGTTAGAGTAAGTTATTCCTCTCAGTCTTGGTTCCTCTGTGGTTCTTTCTCATATTCCCTGGAACTTTTTCCTTTTGAGTCTTTGGTTCTTCTCTGTGGTTCTTCGTCATGTTTTTACATGTTTAAATTTTGAGTCTTGGCTCCTTTCAGAGTCTGTTCCTCATGTTCTTTGAGACTTTTTCCTCTTTGAGTCTAGATTTAGGTTCTTTTTAGAGTTTGTTTCTCATGATCTTAGGAACTTTTTTGAGCTATATGTTGTAGTGGTTGAAATCTTCCTCTATGAAATGGGACCCTCAAATAAAAAGAACATTACTTCATTAACACACTACTAGCGCTGCTCTGTAGGCGACCCTGCCAGTCTGCAGTGATAGCAGAGGAGGGTAAAGTTCAGCTCCTCACTGCTGGGCTTTAGTTACATTTAGGACATCATATGCCTTCAAAGAGGGCGATGTGACAATTATTTATTATTTTATTATTATGACTTAGTTTCTCGCAGTGTTTCTTCCTCATGCTCAGGTGTTTTTCCTCCCATTGTCATCCTGGGTGACACTTATTAGGGGTTTTTCACCCACATTTTTAGAAAGCTTCTTTAGGTCAACATCTGTTGTGAAATGTACTTTATAACTACAGTTGGCTTGAGTTGGTAAAATCCTCCTGTGCTTTTCTAGGCATTGCACACCCTGCGGACTGGTGAGTTCAAGCCCTATGTAATCTTTGTGAAACCTCGGATCCCTGAGAGTCGCAGGCGCCGCAGTGCAGCCACTTCACCAGCAGGGGGAGAGCATGGCAGAGTTACTGTGAGTCTGAGCATTTGTTCAGTGTTTCTCCTGCTTGAACTGGGCGTAAATGTGTCTTTAGAAAATGAGTCATGAATGAATTCATCATGTTAGATTTTACAATAGTTTGATTTGTTTTAGGGGGCTGGACTTTTACATTTGTTTATGCACTTACATTTTGGCCCACAAATGAGTGAATATTGTAATGAACATTATTGTAACTGATTAAATCTATTCTAGCATGCAGTTGAACCATCATGTTTGAAAATACTCTCATTGTGAAAAATTGACATTAACAAATGTTATAGATCCAATATGTCAAACACAAGGCCCGTTGGCCAAGTCAGGCCCATGGCACAGTCATATCCAGAAATGATTTTCATTCTCTATTATGTTAGCCCATTTCACCATGAGCTGCACTACAATCACCAGCATGCACTGCAACATCATGTTTGCTTTGCCCCCCCCCCCTTTCCCCAACAACAAACTATGGGACAGCACCACAAAAAGATAAGATGCCAGGTGTCTGTTTCAAGCAAATGGGTAGTTTTAAAAAACCTACTTCCTTCAGACATTTGAAGAGGTTTCAGAGTTATCTTTAGCCAATGTTTTACATAAAACATTTATTTTTATTTAATTTTTTTTTAAATAAGTCAAGTATTTATGTAATATTTCATGGTTGACTACGAGTGCCTATATTTTGCAGTTTTGGTATATTTTGAATAAACAATGGCCAGTACAGGCAAAATGTAAATAAAAAATAAAAAATTAAAATAAATCTGGCCCACAAATTTGTTGAGATTTTAAATATGGCCCTTTTAGTGGTTCGGTTTGACACCCCTGTTATACATCATATAATTTTATCATTATCAATTCTAAAATTCCAAAATTGATGCAGTTGAATGATCACTTTTCACTTTGCATGCAGTTTGACACCCATAACCTTGATCATTCCCTTCCCTTTGTTACGTTTTTATTAAGAGGAATTCCAATTTTTTCATCATTTCTAATTTTTGCATAATTTAATTGCTGAGATGTAAACAAAGATATTCACAGAGTGGCTTGATGTGAAAATGTTCACTGAAGAGAAATTTACTGACTTCTTTATAATTTCTTTACAGTGGTGGTGATAGGAACCAGGGGTCAAAACATCTACAACACAAATATAACCATTTTATCTACTATCCAAAATCAGCAGTTAACCCACACATGTCTTCTGAGCTTTTATATTTAATGGTCATAATGATAAAATAGTGATAAATCCGAGAAAATAAATTTTGCATGTACCTCTGTGCTATTAATGTGCTTTCAAATTCCATTTTAAGCCAAACCCTTATCAACACTATCGTAAAACAACGTCTCAGACATCAGTGAATTCATAGCCATTTTGTGTAATAACTTTCTGTGTGGGAGCTTTTAGAGGCGTTAAACTCTTCAGACGTCTGGTTCTTATCACCACCACTGTGAACAATTCTGACTTACATTTCTCTTGAATGACAATTCAATTAATCAGACATTTTGAGAAATCTGTGAAATTCCCTTTTCACATCTCTCTCTCTCTTTCTCAGGAGGAGGAGCTGCAGGAAATGCGCCAGTCAGCCCAACAGATTGAGCAGCAGTACGGCCACCTGGTGGACCGGGTCCTGATTAAGGAAGATTCTGCCAGTGCCTGTGCTGAACTGCGGGGCATTCTCGAGCGGCTGGAGAGGGAGGCCTTCTGGGTGCCTATCAGCTGGGTCAGGACCTAAAGACATTCTACCCCCCCAAAAGCTACAGAAGCCAACCCCCCACGCAGGGCCGTTTTGGCAGTGCGGACACTGGACTTCTCTCCATATCCATAGGACTGACCTCCAGCATGGCCAGGACTGCGGTGTCCAACCACAGGCTTGGCTAACTGAGCTCTGTCTGTGAAAGGAAAGACCAGAAAACTAAAAAGTAACACAAGCTCAGTGTGGCCCAGCAGTGCTGATGGAAAGAGATGTGCAAGGAGAAGAGAATTAAGCAGATGTTTTGTCCCTTATAGATGCTGATAGACTTGGGACATAAAAAAAAAATACAAGAATCTGCTGTACAGAGATATGCATACAGTGTTATGCAGAGGTCAGAGACCACTCTTCATTAAATCTCCAGTCAAAATCACACAGATGTTGGATAGTGAGAAGCAGAAAATGCAACCAACTTCTAAGACTGAACTTTAGAGGTGTGGAAAAGTCCCTGCAGATTTCTTAGAAAAAACTGAAAGTGAGTCTTCCAAAAACACTGCAAGAAATAGTGTCTTGTCAAGTGAAATTATCTTTAATTCTAGTCTACATATATAATATGTCTTATTTAGAGATGGTTGTCCACTTATTATAAGAATATTTAGCTTATTTCTAGATTCTTTTACCTATTTTAAGTCAGTTATCTCACTATACTGATACTGATACATAAAATTTTTATGTCCTGAAACAAGCAAAATTATCTGCCAATATAGTGAGATCATTTTACTTAACCCTTGTGTGGTGTGGATGTTTTTGTTACTCAGTGGTCTGGTGGACCCACCGCATTGTTGTTTTATTAAATCAATACAGCCATAACAATTTATGTAAAAATACCAGATGTTTAAATCATCACAAGTGGCCAGCGTAGGGTTCTCCTTTAGCAGCTGTAGCCAGTCAGCAGCCTGTCCACCCTCTCACACACATGCACACATATACAAACACACACACACACACACATATACAAACACATACACACACAGACACACACACACTAACAGCAGGCCATGTAGGAGGAGAACAGAGTGAAGGACACAGCACCTCCACACTTTTATTCCCCGCTGGTTCACCCAACACCACATGTGTAATATAAATGTGTGGGGGGGTGAGCAGTGTGAAGGCACTGAAAATGGGTTATTGTTTATGTTCTTCACAGAAAATGAGCAAAGGCCAAGGAATCTGAGGTTGAAATAATAATAAATCACATTATATTTTCTTTTGGTAAACATTGGAAATGGGTCCCACAGACCCTAACAAGTGTGTGCAAATAAGTTAAATAATCTTAAAATAAGCTTACAGGTTATTGGATTTTTAATATTTGATATTTCAAATAGATTTAAGATCACTTTACTTGAAGATACTATTTTTTGCAGTGAAAAATAGAAATCAAAGGCTGGACACGATAATACTGAGAAATGTGATATTATATTTCATTTCTGAGGCTTCTGTGTGATCTTCTCTTAAATATATGTCTGAAAAATTACAGTTTTGACTGGAAACAAAATGAAGGTTGGTCTCTGACATTTGCACAGTGCTATATATTGAGATTGACCTGTACAATGCATACACACCATGGCTGCTTCTTTTTAACTACGTGTAGATACCACAGTTTATCCAAATGGTGTAAATTATTTTTTAAGACAGTTCACTTCCTAATTCACAGCTTTATTTAAACATTTTTGAAGTTTGTTTAAAACTGACCATGGTGTCATATTTGTTCATCCATTTTTGTTACATCACTGGTCACAATGGCAGTTATAACAAAAGCAGCAATAGGACGGTGGGCTTGTTGTCATGGCAACAATACCACAGCACACACACACACACACACACACCTGCACACGCACACACACTGTTTAACACACTGCTTCATTGCTAGACAAGCTGTAGTTGTACAAAATTTAATGAATGTCTGAGTTTCACACTCTTAATCTATAATTTCACTTCTAAAGCCTGAATCTGCTGCAGCTGCAAGGCTAGTTGATTATGCCAAACAGATACAACAGGAGCACGCTAGCATCCATCCAAACTGCACACGCTCTCCAACTCAGAGCGAGCAGGTTCTTAGTTATGCATGACCAAAAAATCTTATTTCTCAACGATACAAGAACGAGTAGCCTTCTACTGTGCCAATGACTGTTCTCGTAGCACTTAGCTCTGTCCTCTTGACCCAAGAGAAGCGCTTCACTGGTTTTAGGAGGAGTATGCACATGCACTGCGATGTTTTCTTATGTAAATATGTAATAACTCAACAACTCACTGAAGTCACTGCATCTGTCATGCACTGTATTTGAGACAGGACTGTATGTGTGGACTGAACGTTCCATGTGGGTAATACATCTGATCTGACTGCCGCCTTCAAGCAATACTTCTTCTTGATTGATTGTCCAACTGTAGCTGCATTCACTGAATCTGAATACCATCCAGGTTACTGGTAGACCAGGTTTAAAGAATGATACAAGCATGTAGGGGTGGGCGATACAGTAAAAATGATAATATTGCAATATTTTTACAATACATAGTACTTTGTTGTTTTTCTAAGGTTTGTGAATGAACAAAAAACCATAGTGGCACCTTTGACCTGAGTAGATTATGTACATGAAAAGGTGGGACCTCGGCTCACTATGAGGAAACCGACAGGAACGGGAAAGGTAAAGACCGCTAACTTTACCACTGATGGTGAAGATGGACGGCTTTTGCCTATTTGGATCAATTATGAACAACAAAGGATCCAAGACTGACACAGATTGGCAGAACAAGGATGAAGGAACTTGAAAGGTCTTCAAATGTAATGAATTGTCCAGGCTATGGTTTTCCTTTGCTGTTTGTGGATGTGAAAGCTGGACAATAAAAAAGCAGGAGAGGAAAAATATTGATGCTTTTGAACTTTGGTGCTGGTGAAAAGAGTACCTTGGATGGCAGAAAAATGGATCGCTGGCCAAATCAAGCATCACCTCTCACTCAAGGCCCAGATGACTAAACTAAAGCTCTTTTATTTTGGATATGGTCTTGCAATCCAGTCACAGAGTCCAGTACCTTTCACTGCAACATGGTCACGTACATATCTTACCAGGAAGAGGGCATTCGACTGACATGCCAAACGACCAACCACAGCCCAGGGGAATGGGAGGCCATTGTGAAAAACCTATGGATATATCCTGTTTTGAATAGGTAACATTAATTCGCCTTTATAATAATTAATAATAATTTAGCAGAAAAACAAAAAAATTAAGTTTTCTGTCTGATTGATGACAAATGTTGCACAGAAGTGTATGTACAAGGACTCATAATAGCCAATCAGAACGTACCTGACAAAATCTTAGTTGTGTGCAGCTCTGTGGGCGAAATACATCAGAAGTGTCGTGTCTCTGTGGGCAGAGCATGGCCTGTGGAAGCACAACCAAGCATTTGACCAACCATTATTTAACCCTTATTATTATTTAACCAACCAACCCAGAAGAACCAATTCAATGTAAAAGAAAGAAGAGGTAAAAGAGGGAGTGGACAGCCAGCAACAAAATGGATGGACACAATCAGAGATATTGTTAACAAGCTATTAAGAAGCACCAAGAACCAACAGAGAAGACAAGATATTCTGGAGAAACACTATCAATCTGGTTGCCAGGAGACAGAACTGACTTAAAGGCACTAATGATAATAATAATGATAATAATAATAATAATAATAATAATACAGTTAAGGTTCTTTTTTTCTATAATATCCAATCTAGCAATTTGTGCTGATATTGGATCTCTAGACAGGATATGAACTAACAAAAGACAAGGCAGAATTAAATGGGAAAGAGACACATGCAATGATATATAAGGCCATTTTGATGATAAAAAAAAAAACATTTTCAATAATTTAATGAGGATTGTTCATGTTTAAAGAGCCCACATGATTTAAAATGAATTTATTAAACAGAAGGGTTTGTTTGTACATTTTGTACATTGTACACATTTATATCCTCTATCCAGTCTACAGCAGTCTAGACTGCCTCTTCACACTGAAGGTCATATATTAGTAATTCTGTCTGGACTGCTTTTTGAATGAAGTACAATCCTGAGCAGCCACTCAGAACAGAGATCAATAATATATGAATCTTAAAGGGACAGTAACAGAAAGAGACTGTTGTACGTTCAAGGATATGGAGAGGTTGGAAAATGGTGAAGTAAAAATGAATTATGTCTGCTTTTGGTACATAAAACCACACAAATAATATAAGTGGGCATCAGGGGAAAAATAACATCTTGTTATCTTGTAATAACGACCCTTGTGAATAGATGCCCCTGTATGTATCCTGGGAGCTGCACTTTGCAAGAACATGGTGACTCAAAGTACAATATATGAAACTTTTTCACTCTCTATTTATTCTTATACCATTCTAGGCCATCTAAAATTATCCTGCTACATCCAGGCAATATTTCTTAAAGCATTCCAAGTAAGTTTCTCAGTTACTTTAAGCAATGCAGATCTGGTGCAAAGCTGACATACATTTTAAGAGTTCCAGGATGCAAGGGGCTAAAAAGTGGGGGGAAAAAAAAATAAAATAAAAGATTTGGAGTTGAAACAGTTCCTTTAGGACAGGAGTAGGCAATCCTCCTCCTGCAGTGCCACAGGGTATGCACGCTTTCATGCCCGTCCTACACAAGCACACCTACCTGAGCTCATTAAACCACTGAGGAGCCGCTGTGTAGTAAACATGAGAGTATTAGATTAGGGTTAGAAGTAAATCCTGCAGGAGGAGGCCTACCACTGCTTTATTAAACCCAGTTAGTTCAGAGGGATTTTCTTTCTTGCTTCCTAAAAACTTCAACTCTTTCTTAACTCCCAACTTACCGTACTAAAACCTGTTTTCCTGAAACTGTCATATTCTGTCTTATAAAACATTGCAGATTTTTTTTTCATTGTCAAAGCAGATCTCAACTCAGATTCAACCCTACTGTTTTCTTTTCAGAATCTATTAATACATATCATGTTCTTGTACCAGTCATTTTAATAGATTTATTTTAATGACACTGAAAATGTCTAAATGAGTAGAATAGAAATAGTCACATGGTTACATGATACAGGTCTATAGCACTATACCTAAATAGGCCTGATATGAGGTTATTTCAAATCAATTGACAGTTAGATTTGACAGTTAGGGGGCAAGTGGGTAGTGCTGTCACTTTACAGCAAGAAGGGCCTGGGTTCGATTCCCTGGCCGGGCAACCAGTGTCCTTTCTGTGTGAAGTCTGCATGTTCTCCCCATGTCTGCGTGGTTTTCCTCCCACAGTCCAAAGACATGCAGTCAGGCAAATTTGAGATGCCAAATTGCCCTTCGGCATAAATGCATATGTCTGTGTGTCTGCCCTGTGATGGACTGGTGACCTGTCCAGGGTGTTTCCTGCCCTCCGCCCAATGACTGCTGGGATAGGCTCCAGCACCCCCTGCTACCCAAAAGGATAAGCGGCTTAGATAATGTGCGTGCGTGTATAAATGAAAACAAATAAATAAAAGAAATCCACAGAAGTCCGGAGAGGCCATGACCTGTTGCCATAATTTCCTGGATTGTTAGCTTGAGATCACAAGATAGTTAACTCATTTTCTCTAGAAAACAACTTCATGATCTTGAGATCACAGGATAGTTAGCTCATTATCTCAAGGTAACAATCCCAAAAATTATAACTACCTCATGGCCTCTCCGGACTTCTGTAGAGATCACTTCTTTGTTCAAACATTTCTTCTGACT